AGGGCGGAGTCAGGAGCTCATCCTCGCCCCGCCCTGCCCTTTCAGCTGGGAACTTTTGGGGGAACTTGAGGGTCTGCTGAATCAAGTGATGAAGGCTTAGATCTGGATGTGTTGAGTTAGTATAGTGCTGGGGTGTTGATCTGTGAGTGTCTTGTGTGGGGCCTGGATGAGGTTGGTTGATCTATTGGGAAATGTCTTTTGTGTGAAGTGTATCCTTGGGCATGTGGAGGTATTATTGATTTGAGAAAATGCTAAGTAACTGATTTACTATCTGAAAAATCTAAAGTTCTGAAAGTTTAAGGTCTCTTGCCAAAAAGAGGTTTTAAAGCTAACACCTTAATTTTAATGGAGAAAGGGAATGACAAGCCCTTCCCACCCAGAACAGGTAATCCAATTCCAACAGGCAGCTATGTTTAAACAATGTGTCCATTTACACTTGAATGGCTACACCTTTTGATAGCCTAAGGGCAAGTTTACATGTAAACAAATTTGCTCTCAATTCCCAGGGCAGAAAAAAAAAAACACCAAGGTTTAAAATTATTAGATTTTAAAATTTATTCTTAGAAGTGTAAAAGTATATTAATTAAAAAAAAAAAAAAAAAAAAAAAGGAGATTGAAAAACCTGATGAACAATAATAGCTGTTCATTGTAGTAGAGTCCGTGATATGGGAGGGGAGTGGACTGACTGTTCTCAGGGAAAGGGAGAGAGGAAGAGACTGAACATAAACTGTGCACCTATGGATGAGGACAATGGGGGGTGGGGAGGGGGCGGAGGGTGGGGTGGGAACCTGGTGGAGGGGGAAGAAATGAGGAACCTTTGTAATATGAACAATAAAGATTGATTTAAAAAGAAAGAAAGAAAAGAAAGAATGGGAAGAGAACCAGGAGAGTGTGGAACAAGGAGGGAGGCTAGAGGAGTTCCCGAGGCAGCCACTTAGTGTTCTGAAAGCATAAACTAAAAGTCATAGCACTTTGTGTTTTACAAACACTCATCAAAACACTTATTTTAATTTTAATGTATGTAAATTATAACTCAATAAAACTTAATTTTAAAACACACACACACACACACAAAAGAAAGAAGGTGTGCACAGAGGACGGAGGTGTGTATTGAGAACGGAGGTGTGCACGGAGAACGGAAGTGTGCACAGAGAAAGAACGGAGGTGTGCACAGAGAAAGGAGGTGTGCACAGAGGACAAAGGCGTGTATTGAGAACAGAGGTGTGCACGGAGAACAGAAGTGTGCACAGAGAAAGAACGGAGGTGTGCACAGAGAAAGGAGGTGTGCACAGAGAAAGGTGTGCACAGAGGACGCAGGTGTGCACAGAGAAAGGAGGTGAAGGGGGGAGGTATTCATGCTTCGGCACCCAGCTTAGCCGAGGCTGTGGGAGAGCAGGTCTCTCTTGGCCACGCCAGTGGCAGCTTTCCTTGTGAAGGGACCCAGACCTTGATCTCACAGCTGTGGCGGCCATGCAGCCCTTCCTGCCCCCCCCCCACCTCACTCCAGTCCCCCCACAGGTTCACTCTTGCTGTGAACCTAAGTGCACTGCCGGCTCCCTGAGCGGGGCTCCTGCGTGGAGGTGTCTGCCGTCCACATGCAGACGCGGGGTTTCTCGGTGAAACCACGGCCGGCGTGGTGGTGGCAGGCTCTCCCTCCAGCCGGTGGTTGCCCGTTCTATACCCAGCAGTCCCCAGGCAGCCTCTAGGACAGCGTTCCCGGAAACATTGTGTGTTATTGAAAAAAGTCATCACTCGTGGTGAGCAAGCGTCATCACATCCTGGTAGCATGTCACATCCGGGTAACCCGTGAGAGAGAAGCCCACAGCTACGGTTGTACACATGTGTGTTTGGGGAAACCAGGCGAGTCCACGCTCTTCCTGGACGGAGAGCTCCGGATGCTTCTGCTATTATAGAAGGAGTGTCCGTCTGTCCTGCCAGCATGCTTCCTCGCTGCCCACTTAACTCTTTCTGGGCCATCATTTCAGTACAAACAAAATGTGGTTCTGAGTGCGATTTGTAACTTCATAATCCTCCCCTGGGGTATTTTTCCTTTTTTTTTTTTTTTTTTTTGAGAGAGTGGGAGGGAAGAAGCAAAGAGAGAAGGATGAAGAGAAAGAGAGAGAGAGAGAGAGAGAGAGAGAGAGAGAGAGAGAGAGAGAGAGAGAGAGAGAGAGAGAGGAATATCAATGTGAGAGATACACATCAAAACATATTGATTGGTTGGTTGCCTTCCATACCTGCCCCAACTGGGGCTGGGGATTGAACCTGTGACCAGGTATGTGCCCTTGACCAGGAATCAAACCCAAGTCCCTTCAGTGTGTGGGCCAACGTTTCAACCCCTGAGCACACTGGCCAGGGCTGGGAGATAATCTTTAGAGGCTGCTGTTGGACAAACATCTGCTATAACACGATGCTGTTCATGAAATGCTGTCCCTGCCAGTGTCCGCGTGAGGAGTCTGGGGCTGTGTTTGTGAGTCAGACAGTTGGAACAAAGCAGGGAAAAGAAGCCACCAGCTTGCTTAAAGGTTTTACAAAGTTCTTCACAAGGTTAAAAAGCATGTCACTGCAGACCATGAGACAGAATTTATTTAATTTTATTTGTTAAATATACTTTTATTGATGTCAGAGAGGAAAGGAGAGGGAGAGAGAAATTAAAACATCAATGATGAGAGAGAAGCATGTGCCCTTGACCAGAAAAGAACCTGGGATCCTTCAGTCTGCAGGTCACTGAGCCAAACTGGCTAGGGCTAGAGTTTATTTAAAATTTCAAATAATTGCATATATTAAACATTGTGTCTATAATTCTGAAGTAGCCAGTGAGCAAAAATTGAAAAATCAAAACATTCTGAAAATTTCCTGATGTATCATAATTTTCTCTGGTCCAGGGCCCCATTAAGCACTGAGATGAAGAGAATTTATAGTTAGACTTTATTCTGTGTCTCTATCACCAATCTGAATAAAGGAATGTGATGCTGATTGAAAAGAACCACAGAAATGGATTGGTTGGATTCAGGGGAATTTCACTCCCAGATATCTCTAGGTAGGTGAATGATACTGTTTATATCATTTAGAAGAAAAAATGAAAAAGTGAGTAAAATGCGTTTTATTTTTAAACAATCTAGTGATGAACTGTGCTTTGAGTTAGGTGAGTGTCACTTAATATGAAAAATATCTCCTGTCTTCTATAAATATATCTGATATACCATTTGGAAAACAAAAACAAAAACAAAAAAAACACCTTAATTTCTAGCTCCGGAAAGAAAGGAATCTATATATATAAAAGCCTACTCGACATAATGACCGAACAACCAGTCGACCAGTGGCTATGATGTGCCCTGACCACCAGGGGGCAGACAATCAACACAGGAGCTGCCCCCTGGTGGTCAGTGCGCTCCCATAGCCAACCTTCCAGGCTGGCCAACCTCCCATGGTCCTTCTCCCCAAGGTACCCACCAGTGCACGAATTTGTGCACCAGGCCTCTAGTCAGACTTTAAACTGGAGGAGCCAGTGAACTAACCAACGCAGTGTCGGCTCTTGGCTCACAATCCTACTGCTCTGCAGGCATTGGCCCTGGTGGCACAGCTCCCCCAGGGGCCAGGCTGAGAACTGGGGTCTCTCGGTGGACAAAGGGGCAGCAAAGGAAAGTTGGTGATTTCTGTTCATTGTGCCCAAGGGAAACCTTACATTTCTTTCTTTCTTTTTTTTTTTGGGGGGGGGGGAAGGGGAGAGATAAGAGCCTCTGGCTGCAGCAGGAAGATCAGGAAGGAGCATCTGAGTGAATTCTGAAATAAAACAGGTAGAAATCATTGATTCTCTTTTAGATCTGATTTGAATCGCAGCTTAACAAGAGCACAAATAGAAACTGTGCAGCAGTTTCTCAGACTGCAGGGAATGGTCTGCTATTCCAGCCACGGACAGTCCCGGAGGCGGGCGGGGGTCCCAGCGGAGCCTGTGACGTGTGTTCTGCTGACCGTCACCTGATGTGTCACTGAGTGACGAGCGGCCGCCGCACGCCTTCAGGACAAAACAGGGCCAAACCCCACAGCCAAGCCCGCCCTCTGCATGGAGAGGCACCTGCCACGGCCACGGGAAGGACCCTTCCCAGAACCCCGTGCGGGTGACCGGGGGAGCAGAGCTGTAGGGGAGAAGCTGACGGAGAGGGGAGTTTCAGCTCATCGTACATTGTACATAGGCGGGACGGACATGGCCCGGGCGCGGCGCCTGCCCAGGCACACAGCAGGCCCACACGTCCATGGCCACGCTGGGCATCCACGCACCAGGGCCTCCTGGACCCGCAGTGTGCTGCACTCCTCCCTCCGCTCATCCGTGCGTCCTGTTCCCCTGGTTCGCCGAGTCCACGGACCCCTCCCTGTCCGTCCAGCGGGCGGCCTGGCTGACAGCAGGACGGCTGCACCACGTGGAGACGCGCACATGGACCACTGAGCTCAGTCTGCGATCTCCTTGCACTTCCCGAATCTCCGACGGGCGCTGGGGACCCACGACGCCGGGGATGCCATGCGGACGGTCAGCTCGTCCTGCCCCTGAGGGCACTGCAGCCAGTCCGTCCTCACAGGAGGCTCCAGCTTTACCGGGTCAGCGAGCCATGGCACTGGAGGAGGAGGGACAGGCTCACACCGGAGTGACGGCTGCTCTCACAGCCACGCACAGCGGGAAGCAAAGGCCTCACCCAGACCGGCTCACGGCAGCCCCGCTCCTTTTCCCGCCGGGACCTCCCCGTCCCTGCCCACGGTCAGCCTCCGGTCACCGAGTCCTGACGCTGCGATGGACAGAGGCATGGGCTGCCTGGTTCCCGCCCGGAACTAGGACATGCCCGAAGCTCGCACAGCTGGGCTAGTCACCCCACGGTGCGTACGCAGGCTTCGCCGTGGGAAGGATGGAGGGCTGGACCACAGTCCCTCCCGGGGCGCGCGTGTGCGGAGGGCGTGGCAGGGCGGGCGTCCCGCTCTGGGCAGCGGCCATGCGTGGTCCTCCCGTGGCGCTACCTGGCCTTCTGCAGCTCTTGGCGCAGCCAGGCGGGCAGGGGCTGCCCGAGCCGGTGCAGCAGCTTGGAGAGCCCCACGTTGTGGTCCCGGTAGTAGGCGGACAGGAAGGCTCTGGCCTGGGGCAGAGGGAGAGAGAGGTGAGTGCCGTCCGTCCTGAGGAGAGATCGCACGACCTGTCCCTGAGGCTGTGGCCGTCCGGCAGCTGCAGAGATGTGTCTCTGTGTCAGCTCAGATGTCACTCCTTTTCACCTTTGAAAGTGTTTGGGGCAGGATGGAGTATTGGCCCAGCGGCCATGACCAGAGCTGTGGGCCCCTCTGTCACCGGGAGACTCTGCTCTGAGTAGAAAGCACCTCCTCGCTGGCTGGGAGTCTCCCCCAGGGACAGGGGCTCCCCTGGGAACGCGGCCATCCTCCTTCTGAGAACTGCCTTCCTTCCGAGAACTGCCCTCCTTCCAAGAACTGCCCATTGCGAGGGAGAGGCTTCCCACCTCGGGGCTAAGACCTCCTAGTCCTGGCGGCGCCTGCTTCTTACACCCCCAGCCCCAGGCCTGCGATCTGGTCCCTGTGCCCGAGGTGCCCGCCCCCTGCCGGCCCCCCCACCCCCACCCCCAACCCCTACATCTGCGATCTGGTCCCTGTGCCCAAGGTGCCCGCCCTTTGTGACCCCCCCCCCCCCACATCCCCAGTCCGCAGGACTTGTATCCTGGTCACTTCCCCATGCCCGTAACTCCTACTTCCCCATGTCATCTTTGTCCTTCTACCCAAGATAAGCAACCAGCTCATGGGGGCGGGGTGGGCAGAGCAGCTGTCTGTGGGTGCCCCGCTGCTCCCCTGCTGCCGGCAGGACGGGAATAAGCGCTCCCACAGGACCCAGCCAGGAGGGACAGGCCCGGCCCCCTGGCTGTGGGTGACAAAAGCGCCCGGTGAACGCGCAGCTGGAAATGAGGCCAGGACCAGGGGTGCCGTTCAGGGCGGGAGGGGTGCCGGCCACGGGAGAGACTGAGGGGTCCTCTGATGCCATAGAGCAGCCAGGGATGGGACCGGTCTGTGCTGACTCCACAGGCTCCTGGACAAGCACAGACACTTCTGTGGAATGTGTCACGGTCTGTGACATGGGGCCGTGGCATAAAAACAAAAAATCCTAAACACGAAAATCCATATGTAAAGAAATCACTTGTGATGTTACAAAAACATTTCCTATCTTTATTTGGACCCAAATAGATTTTCAAAAATCACCAAGAACATTCTACTCCAAAGGATGCCAGGGCTGTCACGGAGACCACCTGCTGGGTCTGCGGGTCTCCGGGCCGGCTCCTCGTCGGCCGGGGGTCGGCTTCGCAGACCGAGGGCCACACACCAGGTGACCCCACAGACCCTGGCCCTCGCTATGCTTTCTTTTGTTTCTGGAAAACCCCTGGGCTCCTGTCCGGTGCCGCTGGCTCACCCTATGCCGGGAGCTCGGCATGGCTGGCAGGAGGGCAGGAGGGAGGGCCTGAGCGCAGGCACCAACAGCCTTGTTTTCCTCTGGCCAAATCCCCTCCCTCCTAAGCCTGTCACCTTGCCTGGGAGGGAGCCCGTGGTCCTAGCCCCGGACGCTTGCTGCTCCCATCCCCAGCCTCCTCAGAGCGGCCAGAGGCTGCCCTGCCTCCTTATCACAGACCAGGGACCATAACTAACTCCCCTCTCCCCTCCGCCACCCCCCGTCAGTGTGGCCCAGGCTGCCGATCCTCTCCATGTCTCGGCAGAGTGAGAAATGGACACGTGGTCTCTGCTGCGCTCGGACTCAGCGCTCCTGAAACGGACCATCCAGGTGAGAGTGGTCTTCTGTCCCACCCAGGAAGGGGCTGGCTCCCAGGACAACCCGCGTGCACAGGATGTGGGAACTCCAGCCCCACCCCGGCCCCTGGGAGGAGGGAGGGGAGGTGACACAGGTCCCCAAGGCCAGGGAGGGCCTCAGTCCTGCCTGTGAGGAAGCCACCTCCGACACCCCATCTGAGGGACCAGCGAGCCCTGGGTGGTGAAGCCCCGAGGCATGGACGCCCTGCCCCTCTCCACAGCCCTGTGCTCCCGTCCCATCTGCCGGCCCCCGGATAATAAATGGTGAGCCCAGTGTTTCTCTGAGTTCTGGGAGCTGTTCCCAGGGGGTGTGGGGACCTCTGACTTACAGCCGGTGAGCCCCGGGCAGGGAGGGCGTCTGGCAGGACTGAGCCCGGCCTGTGGCTCTGACGCTGCTGAGTGGACGGCGTGGAGGGAGTGGGCTGTGGGACACCGGCCGGGCCGGCGTGCCTGTTGGCGGGGAGAAGCCCCCTGTCTCGGTGGGGCCTCCACGCTTAGCTCAGCCCCTGCACAAAGCAGGTGCAGGGCGTGCATTAACATGTACTAGTAAGTGTGATGCTCACACATGTTATCCAGCCACGTGCCTGGTAACCCGTGTGAGTACTTCACACGTCTGGAGGGGCTCCTGTCCAGTGAGCATGTCTGCCTCGCTGTACCCCACGGTTCTAAAGCCAGGAGACCTACCTGGGGGTCCATGGGCGGGTACTTTCGGCCTTTGCTTTTCCCAAGGCATTTGGTCTTCCCTCCTTCCAGCAGCTGGCACCAGAAGCCCTTCTGGGGGTCAAACCTACCAAAGACCGCACAGGGCGTGATCAGAGACGGGTTACGAAGGATGGGCAGCCGCGTGGGGCCTCCCTTGGGGACGTGCCCTCGCACCTACACACAGGCAGTGAGCTGGCCTGGAGTCTAATGAAATCCAGCAAACACCATGCTATACCGTGGGCCTCCTTCCGAACTTGGCCTCTGACCCACCCCTATGCACCAGACAGATGTGAGGACATGAAGGAGGTTCAAGGTGGCAAAGGTCCTGAGTCACCTCCTCCAGGGGTCCGGGAAACGCCCTCTGCAGGGACGGGGGTGAGGGAGCCTCCGCCAGCGGGAGGACAGCAGACACTCTGGCTGGGGACAGACACACGCCTGGGCCATGGGCCTGACCCCGGCAGGCGGCCTGCAGACGGTGAAGGGGAGGAATATGTCGATAAGGTGGGAGACAAAGCAATGAAACTCCCCGAGCAGCAAATTCAAATAAACATCAAAAACGTGAAGAGACCTGAAGGGACCTTGGGGCCAATGTAAGGGTCCGGACCAGACAGCTGCCCCGGCGAATTCTACCGAAGAAGACCCCGATGCCTCTCAAATCCTCCCCAGCATCAAAGAGGGAGAGAGCGCGCTCACTTTACAAGGCTCACATGATCCGACCTCAAACCCAGCGAGGACACAGAGTTACAGGCTGTGAGCCTGGAGAGCGCAGGTGCAGAAATCCCCAACAAATCCACAGGACGCGCACAGGACCAGTGCCACAGCAAGAGCAAGCGGGACTCGGTCCTGGGAGACAAGGATGGTCCGACCCTCACAGGCCATGCCTCTTCACCAAAACATGGCGAGCCAGCCCAGGCACTCCGCAGGATACAACGTTAATATTTGGAAATCTGTGGCATTTCTGTACAGGCGTGAGCCATTGGAAAGATCAAGAAAGCAAACCCATTCATTATTGCATCTGAATGAATAACATACTTAGGACTATATTTAACCAAGGAGGTGAGCGACCTGTCCACTGAAAAAGTAGCTTTCAGAAGATTCTAGTCCACAGACATCCAGGTCACATTCAAAACCCCACGTCTTCCCAGCGGTGGGCCCAGGTATGATGTGCAGAGACAAGCTGTCTCGGTTCCCAGCCCACAGAATCCACAAGCCAATCATGGCCATGGCTTAGAAATGACCCTCATTGCAGCAGCAGATCATTGGACATAAGCCACGATTCTCTCTGAACTGGTTACCTCGTTGAATGAATACAGAGTAAACCCAAAATGCACCTGGCAGGTGTGGCTCAGTGTTTGAATGTCAACCTACAGGTAAGAACCAGGAGGTCACAGTTCAATATCCAGTCAGGGCACAGGCCCAGGTTGCAGGCTCCATCCCCAGAGTGGGTCGTGCAGGAGGCAGCCGATCCATGATTCTCTCATCATGGATTTTCTATCTCCCTCTCCCTTCCTCTTTGAAATCAATGAAAATATTTTTTAAAAAGAAAAAAGAATCTGCCCTGTTCCTGCCCCAGAGACCCTGCAGAGGAAAGGCTGACCTTTCACCCTCACAGCCTCCACTCCTGGGGATGGAGAGAGTGCACTTAACCAAGCTTCCCTGGGAAGAGCTCATTATAGGCAGACACTCCGTGGAGGTCACGGAAGGCAGACACTCCGTGGAGGACGTCACGGAAGGCAGACACTCCGTGGAGGAGGTCACGGAAGGCAGACACTCCGTGGAGGGGGTCATGGAAGGCAGACACTCCGTGGAGGAGGAGGGTGCTGCCATGAGGGCTCCTGAGGGGCACTGTGAGGTGTAAAAGGGTCTCTCGTGCTGATGGGCTGATGGCGTGGGCCCATCCGCACCCCTGTCCCAGGGTCACGTATGATGGCAACTGATGGGCGCGGGGGAGCAGGAGGCAGACTCACGTCAGGGCTTCCGAGTAGTTGTACCGCGGCGTCACCCCCAGGAACTTCTGGACGCCGTCCATCACGGCTGCCGGGTCGGACCTCAGCTGCTGCCCGTCAATGATCAGCAGCTGCAGAGGCAGGAACAGCCACTTAGTGAGGAACAGAGCGGAGTCAACTAGGCTGAGCTGCCTCCTGGACCTGGGTGACTGAACCAGCGGGTTAACCGGCACCACACGGAACGCGTGTACTATCAGTGATTGTACCAGCGGGTTAACCGGCACCACACAGAATGCATGGTGATGCTTGTGGCTCAGTGTCTCCCAATTGACCAATCAGATTGCTGGAGGCCCTATCAGAGCCCTGGGAAACCCGACTTCCAGTCAGAGATGACCGCAGACCTGTTCTTGGCTTAGTGCTCCATGGAACAGGGCTCTCCACGTGCCGTGTGCCCACGAAGCCCCTGAGCCACCCTGGAGCCCAGGGGAGAGCCTGCGGGTACGGACGGACATCACCCCATTCTCCTCACAGACTCTGAGGTCACAGCTTATGGTTGCCCAACCGGGAATGAGGGGGTGAGCTGGGCGGACCTGTCCTGCATCCTCACTCCTGGCTCCATCCCACCTGGGCGTCGCGGGGACAGACACACGCGGGTAAGTGCATGTGTGGCGTTCTGTTGGCATGTGGTCCCGGAGCCCCTGGTGTGGACCGACCACTTTGGGACCGGCCGCTGGCCGCAGGGAGACCGAGAACGTGGTCCATGCCACCGACCCCATCTGAACATCACGATTGACATTAAACATTTCTGTGGCTGTAAATCGCTACCTGTGGCCATGGTACAGTATTCTCCCGTGTGTAAGACATCCGCCCCCATGTATAAGGCACCCCCACTTTTCCAACCCAAAATTAAGAAATCAATATTTTAAACATTTTGCTGATTTTCCTCTCTAGGCCTTCTTTTTGGCACCTGAAGGAGTTGTTCTTCCTGTTTTCCCACTGTCTGATCAGACCCTCAACGGAGGAGGTCCCCATGGTCTCTGCAGCTGTTTCCAGCTCCTTTGTGGAGCTGATGACATTCAGTGAGAATTTTGCAGAGTAAGACAATTAATTACCGGTATTTATCTTTTTAGTTTTTGACATCTCTCCACCTCCACCTCCACTATGGTGCCAGCTGAGGTAACAATAAGGCTTGTGATTGGAGGAAACCGGTTTGACAAGGTCTGGGCAGCTACGTACCCATGTGGCTCCCTCTCTCTGACTTCTGTGTATAAGATGCCCCTCTGTTTTCAGTCTAAGATTTTAGAAAAAAATAGCGTCTTATACAGGGGAAAATATGGTAATTCCCATTTTCTTTATATATTTTTATTGATTTTAGAGAGGAAGGGAGAGGGAGAGAGAGATGGAAACATCAGTGATGAGAGAGAATCATGGGTCAGCTGCCCCTATCTGTGGATCGAGCCCACAACCCAGGCATGTGCCCTGACCAGGAATCGAACCCTGGACCCTTCAGTCTGCAGGCAGGCGCTCTATTCTGGAGCCACACAGGCCAGGGCCCCCATGCTGCCTGCATGCAGGCCAGCACCGTCTGGCACAGCGGGGGCGGCGGGCGGCGGGACGCTACCTGGGAGGCGGCGAAGTGGGCCAGCCAGCGCTCGATGTGCACCGCGTACCAGCCGGGCACCAGGCAGCGCCGCTGCAGGGCCCGCAGCTCGGGCGGGGCGCCCGGGCCGGTCGTGATCACCTCGTAGAAGTTAAACTGCAGGGCGGCCGGGTCTTCGTGCGACCGCTGGTGCTGCAACAGAACAGCAGCCGTGAGGCCAGCGCCTCTGCCCGCACCGGTGTGCACGGTGCATGCGTGTGTGCGTGTGTGTGTGTGCGTGTGTGTGTGCGCGTGCGCGTGTGCGTGTGTGTGTGTGTGTGTGTGTGTGTGATGGATGTGTTCCCCTCATGTCACACACAGACGATGGTTGGGTTCTAGAATAAAAATGATGGTGAAACCGCATGGAAACGGAAACCCAGGCTTTTTGCCCCGTTTCCAGAATCTGCCTCTGCCAAACCTGTCCCAGCAGAGCCAAGCCCTCTGCTGGTTCCTCTGAGCACGGCCACCACTGGCCACAGGACAGGCCTCCCCCACCCCCCGATTCTTTACGGGACACAGGTCCTTACTTCATGTCCTCGGAGGGTTCCTGGGACTGTGGCCACACGTGGCGGCATGCAGCCTGTCTTCCCGGCTGACACACACAGTGAGACAGCCCCCCTGAGCTCACACCCTGTGTGGGAGGAGACCTGGGCATCGCGCCCAGAGCCGACGAGAGGACGGTGGGCAGAACGTCACCCCGGGACCCGGGGCCCGCAGGGGAGTCTCGGCCCCCCTTGGCTCTGTTTCCACCGGGTTCTGGTGACTCCAGCCCCTGGGCCCCTCCTGACCTGCCCGCCTCCCCCCGATTCCACCTGCTGTCCATGCACCCGGCCCCCGCTCCGTTCCCAGGCGACCCGGCTCCCAGCCCGCCCACCTGGTACCAGGAGTAGGCCCGGTCCGAGGGGTCGATGAGGATGGTGATGAGCTTGGCCTTGGGGACCAGGGAGGCCGCCCGCCGGGGAGCCTCTTCCGAGTGGAAGTAGTTGGCGCTCTTCTCAAACAGGAAGTCACTGGTGACGTTGGCCGGCGTGGGGAAGAAGTCCATGTACCTGGCGGGGAGACACGTGAGCCCGCCAGAGGGCTGTGCCTCCCGCCCTCCCTTCCTCCTGGGGAGTCCGCACGCCCGGCAATGGTGTCTGTGGCTGTGGGAGGGACCTCGTGGGAGGAGCACGGGCAGGGGTGCTGTTAGGCCGGAGGTGCATCCTCAGAGGTCCCCTGTTCTGTGCTGTCAAAGCCAAACCAAGAGACAGCAAGCGCCCCCCCCCCCCCATGGCCACAGAAACATAACAGGGCAAATGGGTGTTTGCAGATGTGAATGCAAACTGCCTCCCCTGAGATCAGAGTGCACGGGACTTCAATCAGAGAAGCCAGGAGCGCTGGGCAGACCCCCTGAGCTCACACCCTGTGAGGGAGGACTCCCCCCTGAGCTCACACCCCGTGAGGGAGGACCCCCCCTGAGCTCACACCCCGTGTGGGAGGACCCCCCCCTGAGCTCACACCCCGTGTGGGAGGATCCCCCCCTGAGCTCACACCCCGTGAGGGAGGACCCCCCCTGAGCTCACACTCTGTGTGGGAGGACACCGCCCCGAGCCCACACCCTGTGAGGGAGGACCCCCCCCTGAGCTCACACCCCGTGAGGGAGGACCCCCCCTGAGCTCACACCCTCTGAGGGAGGACTCCCCCCTGAGCTCACACCCTATGTGGGAGGACACCCCCTGAGCTCATACCCTGTGTGGGAGGACACCCCCCCGAGCCCACACCCTGTGTGGGAGGACCCCTCCCCCGAGCTCACACCCTGTGTGGGAGGAGAAAATCCCCCTGAGTTCACACTCCTTGTGGGAGGACACCCCCTGAGCTCACACCCTGTGAGGGAGGACTCCCCCCTGAGCTCACACCCTATGTGGGAGGACACCCCCTGAGCTCATACCCTGTGTGGGAGGACCACCCCTGAGCTCATACCCCGTGTGGGAGGACCCCCCCTGAGCTCACACTCTGTGTGGGAGGACACCCCCCCGAGCCCACACCCTGTGTGGGAGGACCCCTCCCCCGAGCTCACACCCTGTGTGGGAGGAGAAAATCCCCCTGAGTTCACACTCCTTGTGGGAGGACACCCCCTGAGCTCACACCCTGTGAGGGAGGACTCCCCCCTGAGCTCATACCCTGTGTGGGAGGACACCCCCTGAGCTCACACCCTGTGAGGGAGGACTCCCCCCTGAGCTCACACCCTATGTGGGAGGACACCCCCTGAGCTCATACCCTGTGTGGGAGGACACCCCCTGAGCTCACACCCTGTGAGGGAGGACACCCCTTGAGCCCACACCCTTTGTGGGAGGACCCCTCCCACGAGCTCACACCCTGTGTGGGAGGAGACAGCCCCCGGCCCCTGAGCTCACACCAGGAAGACACATTATCCATCCAGTTAAAACGTTCTAGGCCAAGCATGTCAAACTTCATGTATGTGGCCCGTGTTAGCCTTTGAGCCGACATGCTTGTTCTGGGCACAGTGAAGGTGAAATAATAATACTCGCAGGGAGGATTTAAAGACCGTTGTGCACAATTCTATGAAAAGCACCCCACCGTGCCCTCTCTCCTCTCCTCATTTACCAGGAATAGTTATCATTATGCACCGTCCATATACGTCCCGCCACGCTGGTAAGCGGATCCGTGTCTCAGCCACGGTGGCGGGTGACACGGATTCCGCGGCGAGCACCGCCGGGCCGGGCATGCGTGTGGCGGAGTGCGCTCACCAGTCGATGCCCTTGTGGTAGTTGCTCCCGCTGAAGAACTGCACCTCCTCGAAGGTGCGGGGGCTGGGCAGGCTGCCCACGATGGAGGGGTGCATCAGGAGGAACAGGTACAAGGCCGTGGTGCCTGCGGGCGGGCGGGCGGGAGGAGAGGGGAGCGTCACTGCAGCGCAGCGGGTCTCTGCTCAAACAGCGCCCTCGATTCTTCACAGTTGTTACTTTTTTAAAATTTATTGTCATGGATCTCAGAGAGGAAGGGAGAGGGAGAGAGAGAGAAACATCAATGAAGAGAATCATGGATCAGCTGTCACCAGCACGCCCCCCACTGGGGATGAGCCCGCAGCCAGGGGCGTGCCCTTGATTGGAATTGAACCTGGAACCCTTTAGTCCTTAGGCTGATGCTGTAGCCATTGAGCCATACCAGCTAGGGTGAGACATTCAACTCTTTAAAGAGTCAAAGTAATTTCCCTAAAACCAGTGGGGCACGTTGCACACAACAGCAACCCAAGCGTGCTTTCGTTCGTGTCCATGGCTCTGTGGACCTCAACTCGTGATCAATGTCAGTGCTGAGTATGGGCCAAAGCAGGCAGGCGGGCGAAACAGCCGGGAAACCTCAGAAATCGGGGTTCAGTTCCCTCCTGGGCCGGGCACGTGGCCCCAGCATCAGGGGCGGCTGGCACCGGACCCTGCGGGGTCCCTGATCAATGTCGTACCCAGGTCAGTTTGATACACTCGCACTGCTCAGCAGACGCTGACTGTGCTGGTCTGCGCACAGCCCTGCAGTGCTGGCCCGAGCGGAAGGTGTGTGCGGGGACGTGGGTCACGGGACAGGCCTTACCACACTGGGAGGCGCCCCTCCCCCCCCCCTCCACACACGGGGCATTTCCAGGCTACAAAGCCAGAGGCTCTGACAGAGCCGTCCAGGCAGACATGGCACACACTGCCCGCCCGGAGCCCTTTGTCAAATGGCGGCTGTGGGGTTGCTCAGGCAGAGCACAGAAGGACTTAAACACCAGCTGGCAGGACTAACCTCAGCCTTGTCCAAAATTTGGTCTTGCCCTGGCCCGTTCGGCTCAGTGGATATAGAGTGTCGGCCTGTGGACTGAAGGGTCCCCGGTTCAATTCCTGGTCAAGGGCACAGGCGTGGGTTATAGGCTTGGTCCCCAGTGTGGGCTGTGCAGGAGGCAGCCGATCCATGATTCTCATCATTGATGTTTCTATCTCTCCCTCTCCCTTCCTCTCTGAAATCAATAACAATATATTTTTTAAAATGTGACGTCTGTGCAACTACTTTAAAAGCTGTGGCTACAATGCAGTCCCTGAGTCCAGTTCCCAGGCAGCATGTGGGCCAGGGCGTGGAGCCGGCACCCGGCAGTGAGGCCGTGCGTGTGTGTCTCCTGGTCACACGCACACCAGCCCAGCACCGTCAGACACCACGGCCCGCGACACAGGCACGGCCTCACCTGTCTTCTGCGGCCCGATGACAAGGAAGCGGGGCAAGTGCTCGCAGGTCTTCTCCCTGGACCAGATGTCCTTGTGCCGCTTGTCGTCACAGGGGTTCTGCGGGGAGAAAGAGCCATGAGCTCGGGCCAGGATGCCTGGCCCGGCCCGGCGCAGGACAGCAGAGAGGATGGGATCAGACAGGTGCCTGACCCCCGACCCCAGATCAGACCCCGTCCCGTCCTGGCCCTGGGATGCCCAGGGTCAGCCCCTTCTGAGGGGCGTGGGCCCCGCGGCCGGGCTCCGCCCTCAGTGTCTGTTTCCTGTCTGTGCACCTGTGTCACTGTCTGAAGTTGGTTTATAAAATAACTGAATCCAGGAATGACTTAGGCCAGTGGTCGGCAAACTCATTAGTCCACAGAGACAAATATCAACAGGACAATGATTGACATTTCTTTTGAGAGCCAAATTTTTTAAACTTAAACTTCTTCTAACAACACTTCTTCAAAATAGACTCGCTCAGGCTGTGGTATTTTGTGGAAGAGCCACACTCAAGGGGCCAAAGAGCTGTATTTGGCTCACAAACCGCAGTTTGCCGACCACAAATTTAGGCAAAGCTACACAAAGCAAAAATTTAATACCAGACAGCAGCCGAAACCGGTGGATAGAGCGTCGGCCTGCGGATTGAAGGGTCCCAGGTTCAATTCCAGTGAAGGGCATGTACCTAGGTTGCGGGCACATCCCCATTAGGGGGTGTGTAGGAGGCAGCTGATGGATGTTTCTAACTCTCTATCTCTGTAAAAAGTCAATAAAATATATTTTAAATAAATACCAGACAGCAGAACATAAACTCAAAGTTGTAAAAAATTTGACTTCTGTGTAACACTTTAACCTATCGCTAAACTTCAGCCCCTGAGTCCAATTTCCGGGTGGCATCCGGACCGGGCACTCGGCCCTGCTCTCTCCTGTGCCCCTGGAGGCTGGCGGCCGGCTTGGAACTCCAGCCGTGGCTGTGGCCTCCTTTCCTCTCCTCACACTGTGTGCCAGCCGCGGACCCTGCCAAACCCCAGTGTGGCCCTGCCGAGGAGCTGGTGGCAGATAGGGTCTGAAGTTGGTTTATAAAATAACTGAATCCAGGAATGACTTAGGCCAGTGGTTGGCAAACTCATTAGTCCACAGAGACAAATATCAACAGGACAATGATTGATGGGGCCACCTGGAGAGGACAGGGGCCACCTGTGGTCGTCCTTGTCCCTCCTCCCCCGGGTCACTGCTGGGTGGCACAGGCAGGGAACCCAAACCCAAACCATTGCCCCACTTTGCCCGGTCCTGACCTTCCCCTCCTGAGCTTTCCGCCCCTTTGTGCAGCCATGATCCAGGATTCTCACCCAAACCAGGAAGCCTCTGAGAATTCAAGGGCCCTTTCAGGAGAAGCATGCACTTTTGAAATATTCATTGGCTGGCAATTGGCTTTTATTAGGTCACCAATTCAAAGGTAATGGCAGTCAGACATCACACTGGAGGACTAGGCGTCTGGGATTGGGGTCCCTGGACTGGGAACCAGGTGGGCTTCTGCCGAGGACTCGTGGTAGAGGATGCACTATGGTAACCCCAGGCCCTGTATACTGCTGTCCCGTTTATTATGGGTGCATTTGCTGTCTGGCTCCTGCCCCTCACCCAGCTAACGGGTGTAGCACTTGTCATCCTTCCGGGTTCAACTCCAGTGCCCGTGAGGGCCGTCCCTGGCTCCTGTCCCTGGCACTTCCCACCATAGCCTCTCCCCCACATTTCTGAACTGGAATTACCTTCTCAGGATGAGTTTGTCTCACTTTACTTGATTTATGTAACAGTACTGTGATGTTGCTAATACTGTCTCCACTGGAGCCAGCTTGCTGACCTGGAGACCCTCGTGGCTGCAATGGAACCAGTGAGACGCAGGCAGGGCCTGAGCGAGGGCCGTGGATGGCGCAGCTGCCAGGAGGCGCGGGGGCAGCACTGACGGGCAGCGGGGGCTGCACGTGCTCCGACCCCACAGGGCCCGCGTGGCCCTTCCCCTCCGCCTCCTGCAGAACGCCGTCTCCAGCGGCTCTCCCGGTGGCCCCGCGCTGGCCCCCGCGGCTCACAGTCACTTCAGACTCACACCGCTCCTCACTGCTCCCCCACTGCTCCCCGCCCTGCTCTGTGAAGGCTTTCTTCCTCAGGGAGTTTTATTATTATTATTTTTTACTCTGGGTCTATTTTTTCATTTAATGATTCTTTGATGTTGAAAGTATGACACAAGAGTCCTTGGTGGTTTCAGATGTCAAGCAGTAGAAACGCAGTTGCCGCGGCCTCCACTTGCCGTTTCTCCACAGAGAACGTGGCGAGGACGGCATCTCGGTGGAGGTGGAGGTGGTGGAGGTGGTGGAGGTGGAGGTGGAGGTGGAGGTGGAGGTGGAGGTGGTGGAGGTGGAGGTGGAGGTGGAGGTGGAGGTGGAGGTGGAGGTGGTGGTGGTGGTGGAGGTGGAGGTGGTGGAGGTGGAGGTGGTGGAGGTGGAGGTGGAGGTGGAGGTGGTGGTGGTGGTGGAGGTGGAGGTGGAGGTGGTGGAGGTGGAGGTGGTGGAGGTGGAGGTGGAGGTGGAGGTGGAGGTGGTGGAGGTGGAGGTGGAGGTGGTGGTGGTGGAGGTGGTGGAGGTGGAGGTGGAGGTGGTGGTGGAGGTGGAGGTGGTGGTGGTGGAGGTGGTGGAGGTGGAGGTGGAGGTGGAGGTGGTGGTGGAGGTGGTGGTGGTGGTGGTGGAGGTGGAGGTGGTGGAGGTGGAGGTGGTGGAGGTGGAGGTGGAGGTGGTGGTGGAGGTGGAGGTGGAGGTGGTGGAGGTGGAGGTGGAGGTGGAGGTGGTGGAGGTGGAGGTGGTGGAGGTGGTGGTGGAGGTGGTGGTGGAGGTGGAGGTGGAGGTGGAGGTGGTGGTGGTGGAGGTGGTGGTGGTGGAGGTGGAGGTGGAGGTGGTGGTGGTGGAGGTGGTGGTGGCGGTGGAGGTGGAGGTGGTGGAGGTGGAGGTGGAGGTGGAGGTGGAGGTGGTGGAGGTGGAGGTGGTGGTGGTGGAGGTGGTGGTGGCGGTGGAGGTGGAGGTGGTGGAGGTGGAGGTGGTGGTGGCGGTGGAGGTGGAGGTGGAGGTGGTGGTGGTGGAGGTGGTGGTGGAGGTGGTGGAGGTGGAGGTGGTGGTGGTGGTGGAGGTGGTGGTGGTGGTGGTGGTGGAGGTGGAGGTGGTGGAGGTGGAGGTGGAGGTGGAGGTGGAGGTGGAGGTGGTGGAGGTGGAGGTGGTGGAGGTGGAGGTGGAGGTGGAGGTGGAGGTGGTGGAGGTGGAGGTGGAGGTGGAGGTGGAGGTGGTGGAGGTGGAGGTGGTGGAGGTGGTGGTGGAGGTGGTGGTGGAGGTGGAGGTGGAGGTGGAGGTGGTGGTGGTGGAGGTGGTGGTGGTGGAGGTAGAGGTGGAGGTGGTGGTGGTGGAGGTGGAGGTGGTGGAGGTGGAGGTGGTGGTGGCGGTGGAGGTGGAGGTGGAGGTGGTGGTGGTGGAGGTGGTGGTGGTGGAGGTGGAGGTGGTGGAGGTGGAGGTGGTGGTGGCGGTGGAGGTGGAGGTGGAGGTGGTGGTGGTGGAGGTGGTGGTGGTGGAGGTGGTGGAGGTGGAGGTGGTGGTGGCGGTGGAGGTGGAGGTGGAGGTGGTGGTGGTGGAGGTGGTGGAGGTGGTGGAGGTGGTGGAGGCGGTGGAGGTGGAGGTGGTGGTGGTGGTGGAGGTGGTGGTGGTGGTGGTGGTGGAGGTGGAGATGGAGGTGGTGGTGGAGGTGGAGGTGGAGGTGGTGGTGGTGGAGGTGGTGGTGGAGATGGTGGTGGTGGTGGTGGAGATGGAGGTGGTGGTGGTGGTGGTGGAGATGGAGGTGGAGGTGGTGGTGGAGGTGGAGGTGGAGGTGGAGGTGGAGGTGGAGGTGGAGGTGGAGGTGGAGGTGGTGGAGGTGGTGGAGGAGGTGGAGGAGGTGGAGGAGGAGGTGGAGGTGGAGGTGGAGGTGGAGGTGGTGGAGGTGGAGGTGGTGGAAGTGGTGGTGGTGGAGGTGGAGGTGGAGGTGGAGGTGGTGGAAATGGAGGTGGAGGTGGAGGTGGTGGAAATGGAGGTGGAGGTGGAGGTGGAGGTGGTGGAAGTGGTGGTGGTGGAAATGGAGGTGGAGGTGGAGGTGGTGGAAATGGAGGTGGAGGTGGAGGTGGAGGTGGTGGAGGTGGTGGTGGAGGTGGTGGTGGTGTTCCTCCACCACAGTCCACATTTTCCTCATCAAACCAGTGCTTTGGCTGATTTGGCTCAGTGGATAGAGTGCCGGCCTGCAGACTGCAGGGTCCCAGGTTCGATGCTGGTCAGGACACAGGTCTTGGCTGTGGGCTCGATCCCCAATGAGGGGCGTGCAGGAGGTAGCGGATCAATGAATGATTCTCTCTCATCACTGATGTTCCTCTCGCTCTCCCTCTCCCTTTCTCTCTGACATCAATGAAGATATATTTTTTAAAAAGAGGAAACCCTCGTCATGCTTCCTTAGAATTATTTTATCACAACAAAGGGTGTGAATTACCAGGGCCATCCCAGGGGCATGCGAGGGGGGCACACTAGGGGCAGATGTCTGCCCGCTGTGGGCGCCCATCCCGGGGAAGACCAGTGGCCGCGCTGCTGTCCGGGGCAGACACTCCCGGGCACTTTTTAATGAGGCGACAAGCAGTTCACACACACAGGTCGCATGCCCGGTGCTAATGAAAATGTACATGAGGAACCAGAGGAGATTAAGCAGATGTGAAGGCTGTCAACTATAAGAATAAAGTTACAAAAACAGACATGATGATTATCGCTGCGCACACTTTCTTTTTATTTGTGGTAATAAAACAAAGTGTGAATTAAAAGCCTAATGGAAAATGACAGTTGACTGAGTTTTTAAGAGGGAACCACGTGACGTAGGAATGAACGCTTCCCAATACAAGCAAGTCCCGGCACACCGAGTGTGAGACTGTGTGCAGGGAGCACTAAGACCAGTCTGCCCTGACCGCAAGGCCGTGGCGAATGGGCTGTACAATGTTTAATTGGTGCTAGTTATGCGTCTATGTTTTTTAAAATATGTTCTTATTGACTTCAGGTAGAGAGGAAGGGAGAGGGAGAGAGATAGAAATATCAATGAGAAAGACACACCTGGCAGCTGCCTCTGGCATGCCCCCTCCTGGAGGTTGAGCCTGCAACCCAGGCATGTGCCCTGACCAGGAATCGAACCTTCTCCTCTTGGTCCATGGGAGGATGCTCAACCCCTGAGGCACACCAGCGGGGCTGAGTTTATGTTTTTATGAAACTGGGGCACACTGTGTGAAGGCTGCGTGGAGCAGCGGGGAGACTCCCCGGGGAGGAGCAGGCCATGTTTGTGCTTGTCTTTCCAGAGCCTTCTGCAGCCCCGTTTTCTCCAACGCGTGGGCCGAGGGATCCCCAGCCCTCCCGCCCTCGCTCCGGCCTCGCTGGCTCTGAAAGTCCTCAGAGCAGGCGTGGCTTTGGTCCACGGAGGTGTTTGCAACTTGGCCTCCGTCCACAGAAGCCACGTAAGCGATGCACCTTCCGCAATGCAGTGGAGTCTCTATCTCCGACACTCAGATGCTCTCACACAGGCCGTTGTGGTGACGGCTGAGCATTCAAACGCGTGTGAACGGCAGCCACAGCGGCGGGGCTGTGCGAGCCCTCCGCAGCCTTCCCGGCGAGTTCTGTCCTTTAGGAAGAACGTCCCAGAAATCTTCAACCAAAAGCTCAGGCCCTGCCGCTGCTCCTGGGCGTCCTCCACAGCGACTGGTCCCGGAAATACCGTTCCACTTCCCGTTTCTAACTCAAACCTGCCCCGTGTTTCACACTGAACAACACGCAATATTCAGAATCATCATGTGACCCAATCACATGACATCACTCCTTAGCAAGTACATCGTGTCCCTGATACAAAACCCACACAACGAGCTAGCCTGAAAACCTCAGTGTCAGCGAGGACACACTCTCCGTCTCACCTTTCCTAATGCAGAGGGGAGAGCAGAGGTGGGCACTGCCATGCCAGCTGTCTGCACCCCTTTTAAGTGGCTGCTTTTTCTGGGGACTGTGCCGTGAACTGTAGATATCTCACAAGCAGACGTGTGTGAGAACAGGTGTAATTCACTCCCCATGATTTATCAGCATCACACGTGTGTGCGACACCTGCTTCGCCTTTATTCATCCCAGTGGGGTGTGCCTGTAGGCTCCTTACTAGGGAGTCTGTACCCCCTTATGGGGAGGTCTGTACCCCCTTATGGGGAGGTCTGTACCCCCTTATGGGGAGGCCTGTCCTCCATGCCCTGTCTTATCCGGAGCAGCCGCCTGGCCTCACGTGTGGGGCCACTCAGTGGACACGCGCTGGGTGGGCCGGCCGCACAGACGGGCCACGTAGCGGGGATCCTGAGGGGAGAGCGGCAGCCCGAGGAGGGGAGAGGACGCAGTCCATCTTGCAGGGATGCATCCCGAGGGATGCTGTGCCCTGCCTTCTGCCCGGCAGCCGGCTCTCCGCCGTGGCTGGTGCATCGGGAAGAGTGTGTGTGTGTGGGGGGGGTGGGGGGGGGTGGGGGGTGGGGGAAGAGGTGACTTTTCTAGCTGAGCCGCACAGCAGAGGATTGTGTTCCAGGCATTAAGGGTGGGAGGCTCCCACTGAGTGTAAAAGCAATCCTTATGCTGGTCATCCTTTTTTTTATTTTATTTTATTATTAAATATATTTTTATTGATTTCAAAGAAGGAGAGAGAGAGAGAGAGAAACATCCATGATGAGAGAGAATCATGGATGGGCTGCCTCCTGCACACCCCCTACTTGGGGTGGAGCCTGCAACCTGGGCCTGTGCCCTGACCAGGAACTGAATCCTGACCTCCTGGTCTGTAGGTTGACACTTAACCACTGAGCCATGCTAGCTGGCAGTGATTCTTTTATTAATAGATCGGATCCTAGCAAAGCATTCTTAGATCTACAGGAACGTAGCAGCGTGTTAAAGACAGACTATTAAGCACCAGGTGGAAAAAGGCTCTTTGCTTTTTATATTCATCCCCGGCCCCGCCCCCGCCCCAGGTAGTTCACACTCATGCAGAGTCTAGTCTCGGGGTCTCAGATTACGGCACTTGGGTGTCTGTTCCCTCCCGTTCCCAGAGAGACGCCCTCCCCCTGAGAAGACACGAACCATCCAACCACTTCCTTGAGGCAGAAGTCCCCAACCAACGGACCGACAGCCGAAACCTCAGAAAAACAGACAACAGGAAAACGCAACAGCCCATCACAAACCAACCGCGGCACCGAGGAGGATAAACCATTGGATAAAGACGCGCGTGTCACAGGCCGGTGTACTCTGTGGCTGAGCGCCTCCCCCGGCCTCACAGTCCCCGTGTCATCGCCCCCCCCCCTTCCCCCCCGTACCTGCCAGAGCGGGTCCCTCTGCTCCGGGAAGAGCTCGAAATACTTGCGGGCCAGCTGCAGGGGCGGCAGCGTGCGCAGGCGCAGGTGGGTCCAGCTCTGCAGGAAGCTGGCCAGGTTCACGAAGGTGTAGGAGCCCAGGCGGTCGTTGCCGTAGTTGGACAGGTGAGTCATGAAGATGCTGATCTGAAGGAGGAACGAGGATGAGCACGGAGCCTGTGCGGAAGCTCACGTGCAAAGGAGCCCCAGCCCAGGCAGTGCCTCCCCTTGGGGTTTCCTGAGAAGCAGAGCCATCCTTTTAGCTGGTGCGATGGGTGAGCCCTCCCCCCAATTCTATGGTGAAACTGTGGACCCAATGTGGCCGCACTGAGAGATGAGGCCCTGAGGGAGGAACAAAGGTTAAAGGAGGTCATCAGGGCGGGCCCTGATCTGATAGGTGTGGTGGCTCTCTCTGTCCCTCCGTCTCTCTCTCTGTCTCTCTCTGTCCCTCCGTCTCTCTCTCACCCCCATCAGTGCACAGAGAGGAGGCGGTGAGGACACAGCCAGAACGCAGCTGTCTGGCCTGGAGGAGAGGCCTCATGGGGCAGGGGGAGGGGAGAGGGAAAGGGAGGGGCGCGTATATAATACTTTCAACAATAAAGATTATTATTATTTTTTTTTTTTTAAAGAAGGAGTCGAAACTAGTTTGGCTCAGTGGATAGAGCATCAGTCTGAGGACTGAAAGGTCCCAGGTTCGATTCTGGTCAAGGGCATGTACATTGGTTGTGGGCACTCCCCCGGTAGGGGGCGTGCAGGAGGCAGCTGGTTGATGTTCTCTCTCATCAATGTTTCTAGCACATTATCCGTCTCCCTTCCTCTCTGTAAAAAAAAAAAATCAATAAAATATATGTTAGAAGAAAAAAAAATTAAAAATTAAAAAAAAGAGAGAGTGTACTGGTGGACGGGGCCTCCATCAGGGACTCCAGCCTCAGAGCTGGGAGCTGGGAGACAACAGAGTCAGTGGTATGTTGCTGGGGCATCTCTGCAGACACATGCTGGCGGGAAGCTACACGGGGATTTTTGCTTCAAACACCTCGTTCCTGGTCCCTCTGAACATTAGGATGGGCCCGGCCTTGTGGCTCAGTGGTGGACCTATGAACCTGACGGTCAGGGTTCGATTCCCGGTCAGGGCACAGGCCCGGGTTTCGGGCTCAATCTCCGGTATTGGGCGTGCAGGGGGCAGCAGATCCAGGATTCTCTCGTTATTGATGTTTCTCTCTCTCCCTCTCCCTTCCTCTCTGAAACCAATAAAAATGTATTTAAAAAAAATTAAGGCTGAAGTTGGGCCCGGCACCCCTCAGTGTTCACTGAATGAGTGATACCACTTTCCACATCAGCGTTCCCCATCGAGGCACCAAGGCCTCGAACCCAATCAAACCTCATGGTCTAAGGACCTCCAGGCGAGCGAAGGTCGGGAAGAGGGTCCCCGGCCCTGGGGCGGACGCCTGCCCAGCCCTCTCCTGGGGAGGCACAGGGGCCCACGGAGACCGTCTCCTTCCGGGCTAACGGGGAACGGTGACTGCCGGAGGAAGCTGAGTGTTTGCACAAAACTGATCGCGTTTAGCCCCAAACCCTCCCACACCCGCTAACCCTCTCACACGTTCCGACCTCACACCAACGCTAAAGGCCCGTCTTCCGTCCTGGGCTTCTGTGGCCAGAGACAGGGCAGAGTGGAGGCCAGACTGGCACTGGGGAAGGGCATCAGGAACTGGTGTGACCCAGACACAACCCAAGGGACACCCCTCGGGGCACAGAACGCTAACAAAGGCGGATTCTGTAAGGCCACAACAAACAAAAACACCCCACACAGAAACACAAGCAGGGAGGCCCGGAGAGCATCATGCTGAGTGAAATAAGCCAGCCGGAGAGAGACAGAATCACCTGATCCGTAAGGCTCGTGTTCTCCGTGTGCGCATGTGGGGCATGTGGCTTTCGGAAACGAACATGGGGTTTTGGTACCACTGCGACGTGCTGCCTGCGCCTGTGTAACGGCCGCCGTCAGCCACAGATGTGTACGCCTAAGCATGGTCTCCAGACCCATGTCCCAGGCCAAAGGCACTCCCTTGTCCTTTATTTATTTTTTAATATATATATTTTATTGATTTTTTTATAGAGAGGAAGGGAGAGGGAGAGAGAATTAGGAACATTGATGAGAGAGAAACATCGATTAGCTGCCTCCTGCACACCTCCCATAGGGATGTTCCCACAACCAAGGTATACGCCCTTGACCAGAATCCAACCTGGGACCCTTCAGTCCGCAGGCCGACGCTCTATCCACTGAGCCACACCAGCTAGCACTCCCTTGTCTTACAAACATGAAGTCCTGCTAGGTGCATGTGAAAGGCATCGGGGCCAGAATGACCTTTTAACCTTGGGAACGCCCCTTCCCCCCCCACTCCCGATTCCACAGGAAGCTGAAGACGGGGGGGGGGGGGGGGGGGGGGGGGGGGGGGGCTAGACACACTCTTCCCAGCAGGAGGCAGGCAGCAGAGGGTTAAAACAATATCTAAAATAATAACTGAACGGCACACAGCACCGAGCAGGTGGGGTGTGAATCCAGGCCTTCCCAGGGTGCAATGATAAAGCCCTCTTAGCGTCCCAGAGGAGGTACGGCCCCGCTGCTCTCTCGGGTGGGGAAACTGAGGCACAGTTAGGAAAACTGTCCAGTCCCCTGTCTGGCTACTACAGGACAGGACTTAAAGCCTGGCAGCTGGAGTCCCAAGTCAGACATGTGACCGCCTGACACCTCCCCACACAGCTCAGAGTTTACAGGAGCCCTATTCCTTCCTCCTTTTTATAAAAACAGACAGATTTGTAGGTCTCTGTCTACAGAAGGAGGTCCAAATCCCCGTAAGGGTCATCTTGGTGCCTATAGATTTCTCATTTTCTCCCAAACTGGGATGGCAGAGGAGACATGACTTTGGAGCCTGACAGAGAGCTTCCAGGACAAGGAGCCAGTGTTCTGGAGGGACATTATGGAGAGTCACAAACGTATCTCAAAGGCAGACTCATGCCATCGCCCTCAGTGCCCCCCTACCTCCCCGTCCCCTTTATCCTAAAGGTCAGCAGAGAAAGGCCCTTTGAGAACATGCCTTCCCATAGCACGCACAGATAAAAATTTAAATTAATGCCCGATGCCAGTGCCACACTGTCCCTGAGCTGTGTGTGGGCCAATGTCTGTCTGTCTGTCTCTCAAAGGAAGTGCCCGCGGGCAAGACTAAATTCCGGAGTTTCCAGAATGTACCGTGGTGTCAGGAGTCCATGACCATGGAGTTGCCGTTGTTCTCAGCAGAACTTTATGATCGGCACCAAGAACATGCACCTGGTCCCAGCCTCTGCCCTCACCTCCCGTCACGGCTGAGGTGGAGAAGAGAGGCTGTGAGAGCGAGGGATGCTGGGTTAACGCCTCACGACTGAATCGTTCTGGGAACCGGCTGCGGCGGACCCTAAGTCACAGAGGGAAGTCCCCAGACGCCACCACCTGCCTTTGGGCTGTGACTTCAAGGTGGAGATTTAAGGCACCAAGACTCTTCGAAATCTGACAGAAGTATGAATGAGACCAATACCGAGAGAATTAAAGCCGTGTGTGTCCTATGGGCAGGTACACGTTACGTTCATCAGGTGTTAACAAAGCTTCCCGGCCACTCCTTCCCAGTCATCCTTCCCGAGTCTCCTCAGGCGGGAGCTGGGCTCAGAGGGCCATGTAAGCCGAGGACAGGGCCCGGGAGCCGCCACGGCCGCCTGTGGGTCTCAGCGGACCTGTGCGTCCATTCTAATGACCGTTGGCTGAGAATAGACTTGGGCACCGTGACCATGACGGGGGCCAGCCCTGCTGCACGGGGACCATGACATGTTTCTTTGTCTCCCCATTTGTCTGCATCCCTGTGTTTATTCCTAAATATTAGGTAGAGCTGCTGGAATTGTAGAGTGGCCTTGTGTAATAGGTGCCCTGTAGGGTCCAGTGGCTCAGACTCCCCAGTTCCCTGAGCTGGGCATTCTAGGTGACCCTGTTTGTGGGCTGTGTGCACAGTCTTATTGTAGTTGAGCCTTGATTGCTGTTGGTGTCACTGGAGGAACTGACCTCCAGGCCATTTGGTTGTGAGGGCCAGCTGTAACTACAGTAGGAGAATGCTGCTGTGCAAGAGACTCCCCTATGGAGCAGGATTTGCTTCAGTGGGGCTTTGGTGCTCACTGAGTCTGCCCCTTGAGTGTGTCACTGGTGGATGTGGTAGGATCACAGTCTGGAGTGGGCTACAGCTGTCCTCTGGGTGCACAGGCTCTTGGACCTCCTGGGAGGTACAAAGTCAGCCACTGCCTGTGCCTTGCTTGGGGCCACCTGTCAGAAGCTACAAAGCAATCTGCAGAAGGCTGCTACTTGCATTGGGCTTGGAAGTGTCCATGAAGGCCAAGCTGTGAAGGCAAGCTGCTGCTAGTGCCAGACCTGGGACCTCTTATTGAGAGTATGGAGCTGGCTGAGGCTAGTATCTTCTTGTTTGAGAGATTTTAGCAAAGTCTGAAGCCAGGTCATTCATATGCAAACAGCTTGGGTGGGGCTGCAAATTGGGTTGGGGTGGTCTCAGAGAACAACCAGTGTGAGCCAGGTTGATGGAGACTCAGATAGGCTGCCAGTCAGTGCTGTAGTGGGGAGGTCTCAGCAGAGGGACAATGACCCCTGCTAGCTCTTTAGTCAGGGAGAAAGTACCCTCGAATTCTTGCCCCAATGCCAGCCAACCCAGTTCCTCTTGGTATGTCCCGGGACACCCCACCATCTGTCCCAGAGCTGGAGTTCTGAGGAAGTCCATGCACTGGCCCTTTAGAAGGAACTGCTGGGACTCCGCAGCCTCCCTGTCACTCAGCCACAATCCCCACTGGTTTGTACAGCCTGAAGTTATGGGGCATTTTCTTCTCAGCTCTTGAATCCTGAGCGGGGGTCTGGTGTGGGGCTGGGACCCCTTGTTCCTCAGGGTTGGCCTCTGCAGTCAACATTCTTCTCTATTTCTCTGATTGTAGGGCCTGCTTCAGCCAGATTCCAGGCAGTTCTGAGTGATGGTTGTTCTGTATTTTACTTGTAATTTTGATGTGGTGTGGGAGGTAGTGCGTACTCTTTGCCTACGGTGCCATCTTGGTTCTCTCTCCTATTATCCTTG